ATTTTTTGCTGTAGGTAATTTTCTCAGGGAAAATACGAAAATAAAAATGACTTTTTAAGTCAAAAAAAGTCAAAAAGACAAGTTATTCAAAAAAAGGACTGTCCTTTTCAAAAAAAGGACAGGTGGCAACCCTAGGTATTTCTGGAATGGAAATTTAACGGCAAATCTAGAACTTTAGTTTGAAAATATGTTCCGACCACCTATGTTTACAAAAATGTCTAAAATGTCCTTTACCATTGCTTCCATATTCCGAAAAAAAAACTGAAAGAAAAGTCACCAACCACAAACCTAATATAGAACTGTTTCGGAAGCCTGAGTCACCCTGTAAATATTCAAAAGTAACTGAAAGTTTATATAGAAGTAACTGAAAGTTTAAATTGAAAATCGACATTAAAGCAATTTTCGAAAACTACCTACTAACGTTTCAACACAGGTATATGTGGGATATTAATTATATTATTATATTAGACCTTATAACAAAACTCATCTGACGAAAAAGTGTTGATGTAGTAATTAATATGGAGTAAAAATTTTACTAATTAATTTACTTTTACACTAATTATATTCGTTTCAAAAAACGATACGCCACTGACCATTAGAACAATCCAAATGTGCCTAGTTGCCGAGGTCGGAAATTTTAGACTTCTCTGTCTCTTCTGTCCTTGTCTGACACATTGGAATGTTTGATATAGTCTATAAAATGAATAACTTTGAATTTTGACCGTTATTTTTTACCAACATGGCAAATATAAAATCCCTCTATCCAAAAAGTTACTGATATTCTTTAAAATGTGTGCCTGAACGAATCAGATAGGTAACTCTTTTTACTTTCGTGAAATAGAAAAGGAAAATAATAAAACAAGTGACAGTTCTTCCTCTTCTTGCAAAAATCAACGCGAAATGTCATAATTGACAAAAGTAAAATGTCATCAGCCTTTGACATTTCTAAATATCAGACCAATGCGGTCTCTAATAGAACAGCCACGGGGAGAGATTAATGACGTCACGCTAGTTAGATACCACGGATTAATAAATATGTTGTAGAATACATGGAAAACATAATTATTCCTCATATTTTTGGTTTGTATTTTAAAACTGATATAGTTTACATGAAATATACATAATATACAGTTAATAAATCGTTCTATTGCTGCCAAAAGTCACTAACTAACATTTTTCCGAACAACCAAATTCAATCACTAACTATGTTTTGAAGTGGAGAATCGATTGCAAAAGTCATTAACTACGATTTCTGGCTATTTATGTTTTATTTTAATACCGAATAGTTACTAACTATAACATCTTTATGCAATGCAATTCATCTTTAGACGCATTTTTCTCGGAAGTGATAAAAAGTAGGTTAGTGACTTTTGGCAGCAGTGGGACGAAATACAATATATATATATATATACCTATTTATAGTAATAAATACTTTAGCAAATAAACTATGAACCATACAAATGCAGCAAATGTTTTACAATATACAAATAATGAATAGGTACATAAGATAATAGGTAAAATGTAAAATATATTTTAAATTTTAGGGTTTGAAGTCGATCTAATTTAACAAAAAACATTCAATATCTACTAATAGTGATATATTATTATTTGCATTCACAAAATTTATATGTATATTTTACAAGCATGAATGTTCGAAAAATTATATTTGCAAATAATACAATATCATAGAAAAAAAGGCGTCAGCGATGGCTAAGAAATAAAGATCGCTCTCATTTTATATGTAAAATTATTATAAAATGTTTGATTTTCTTGGGATTTAGGTTCGGGAAAAACGCTGAATAAGTTTTCATTTGGTTTTTCATTATTTTTTTTTGGTTTAAAAAAAAAACGTTATAGCTAACGTTTATAGCCTTCATCAGTGTTGTGTCATATGAAAAAAATAGTGTCGAATAGAATCCAAAAATTTACACATACGAGGAATAATTATGTTTTCCATGTATTCTACAACATAATTAATCCGCAGTATCTAACTAGCGTGACGTCATCAGGGTTCGGAAAACTACATGTCACTTTTAAAAACTACATAAACTACATTACATGTCGTTAATGTAGTTTATGTAACCTATGTATGTAACTTTCAAATATCAAAGGTTTGAGGTGAGGTTATAATAAGTTGAAGCTTTAAAAAACACATAACGTATTTAAGAAAACGGCTTTAAATATAATCATTCACATCATATTATTTAGATCCCTCATACAAAGAAAAATTATTCATAATACCAATACATATTTTATTAACGTAGTTTTCATGTAATTAATTAACGGAAAAAGACGTAGTTTTTGAAGAAAAACTACACGTAGTTAATCAGGTAAATTACGTCTTAATTAACTACTTCCGAACCTTGGACGTCATAAATTTCGCTCCGAGGCTGTTCTATTAGAGACGGCATTGCATCAGCATGGCCGCAAGTTGCTAACCTAATAAAATTTACACTAGAAAAGCCCGCGGGAACTGTCAAATTCAAAGTTATTCGTTTCACAGACTATACACTACCAACGAGTATTTATGAATGAGATGTTCGGTCTATCTTTATAATGTCTTTGATGGTAATACATATTAACACTGAAATCTCCCTGTTATTTATTAATCTACTTTTCAAATTAAATGACAGGCAATAAGTGTCAATATCATGTTTACCACCTTCTCCTCACTTGTCTATAAAAGTAGAAGACGTACTCTTCTATTTTCTGTCTTATAATATGTATGATGTATTTCTATAAAGCAGGTTTAACTTTTAAATGCCTCTATTACAGACTTTTATTAGCTTATACAATGTTGAAAATATTGTATACGCTAATAAAACAAATAATGAAAACCAATAAACAATATAATATCATCTTCATTATTTTCAGCTTATTCAACCAAGTCCAATTATGGTGTAGCCTCCTTCACATATTTAGATACTCTCTTTGTAGTTGGGTCCATTGTTGTCTATTGTTGTCTATACGGGCCCAAGTTATCCCTGCTAATTTCCTAAGATCATCGTCTTCGTCCAGGACTCTCAATTTTTCGTGAGTACCATGCTGTAATTTTTGTAGTCCATCTGTTGTCCGTTCTTCGGGTCAACTTTCGTTTAGCTGAAATCAGTTATTAGAAAAAAAAATAATTTTTTGTTTTTAAAAGGCTACTGTGAACCACGGAAAACACAAATTTTCCTGCGGAAATAAGCTGTTTTCATTTTCTAAGGAAATTTATTAGACTTTAGAAAAGCTGTTATATAAAAAATAAATATATTTTTGCCTTTTAGAAGCATTCACGAATTGAGGAAAATAAAAATTTTCCTGCGGAAATAAACGGTATCCATTTTCTGGGGAAATTTAATAGACTTTAGAATAGCTGAAAACAGTTATATAAAAAATAAATATCTTTTTGCCTTTTAGAAGTATTTACGAACTCAGGAAAATAAAAAATTTCCTGCGGAAATGCTTGATTATCATTTTGTATTTGTTCCTTATTATTTTATCGGGTCTTGTGAAGTATAAGTACCCACGAATTTAGCAAAAAAATTTTTGGCAGAAAGTCCTATTCTTATAGAACAGTTGGATATAGGTAATTTAGGGCTTATTTTTTGGTATTTATTATAATTTTGCTAATATCTTCTGTTTGAAAGAAGATATCAAAATGCGGTTTTGGCTGACTTTTTAAGCTTTTACTACTCTTTACTATCAGCTAAAATTACATATACTATTGCATTTAATTTTTTTGAAAAAACGCGCAATGTTTGTTAAATTGTAAGACAACGCCCCCTAGCGTCTACGTTCAGAAGCTTATTATTATTGTTTATATGGTACAATATAGAGTAAGGAACGCTCTTTTAAGCGAGCCCTCGCTTGTTGGATTTCGATCATCCAGTCATCCAGTTATTAATATTTAAATAAAAACAGATCTAACCTTCTCCCACCATTTTATTTTGGTAGATAGGGGAAAATGGCTCTAAAGTGGCCGGCCAGCAAGTGGCCGGCCGTAGCTCCAGCGTTAGTGTGTCGATCTGCGGAGCGGAAGGTACTGGGTTCGATCCCCAGCCAGTACGGTCGCTTTATTTATTTAAATAAAAATATTTATTTATCTAAATAGAGCGAACAACGAGCCGCCACCTCAAGGAATGCAATGGCAAACCACCTTGAGTATATTTGCCTTGTACAAATAGTGCCGTTCGGAAAAATAGTGCCGTTCGGATTCGGCTATAAACTGTAGGTCTTGTGTACTTGTGAAACATTGATGACACATATCACTAGTACATGCGAGAGTTAGCCGACGCTCTATATAGAGTATGGCACTGTAAAAAGAAGAAGAAGGCTTCTTTAACAAAAAATATTCAAATTTACTGAAGATTATGAGCTATAACATTAGTACACCTTATCTAGGCAAAATTGTGTAAAAACTAACATTTTCTTATTTTTGTTGCAGTTGCGCCCCCTAGCGGTCGTTCTACAAACTTGAAAATAATTTCTAGCAATTTCCCATAGCCTTTTTAGTTATAAATATTTTTTTCCGCAGTCCCTACGGCTAATACTTTCCGAGATACACCCGAGAGCTATTCTTAGTGGGACACCCTGTGCAGTATTGAACCTTTAAGTAGTTCTGAACCCGGGGTTAGCATATAAAGATCGTGCTCCGTATTCCTAAGTGGAGAGTTATGAGATGGCCTTTCGGGAATAGCAGATATGTGCTTTCGGATTAAGTAAATGGAATCAAAAATGAATAAAGAAGGAAGAGTCAGCTTTTTGAAATTTTTAAAGAAATTCTGGCAGTGAAGTTCTACTGTTCAGTCCAATAAATATCGAACTACTCTCTTTTGAAGCCTAAAATACGATCAAATTTTATTGCGCACCAAGTACCCTAGATAGAAGGCCATAAACAAGAATGTAACGTGCAAAAAGGGCAATAATAGGTCTATTTTTGATCATTTGAGATTTTATCGTAATACTTTTCTAGACCATATACATTAATAGACATGTTGTTTTGATTCTCAAATTTTTTATCTTTTAATGACATAAGGAAAATCGATACCTGTGATGTTCAAAATTGTTGAGTAGTGTGGGTATGATGATATTTCAAAAGGAGGACCTGTTGGAGGATGAAGAGCTGCTACTATTGACCACGCAAAGCAGTAGTTGTCATTGTTCCATATATTAATGACAGCTCGACGTCTTGCAATCTCAATTGGCAGTTCAACAAACGAGGACGCCTTCAAAGGATTGAACTTGTTAATGTTAACTTCCAAAAAGAGAAGATTAATCATTATCCATCCTGGAAATCAAATAAAATTAATATAATTTTATATTAAAAAAAAAATAATAATAAAATATTACCAGAATCCCTTTCAGCAAATTCATCGGCCTTTTCTTCTATGATTATGAAAAGATTCTCCATTATGTTTTTTACTTCTCCACTGTTGCAAATTAATTTAAAGGGGGTATTAAAAGACTTGATATCATAGTTTTCAGTACTAGGATGAAAATAATATCCAAATAATTCCATATTTATTTTACACATTGATGTCTTGTCAGTTGATCAAAACATATTTTCAAAATTTTGGTTCCAAATGTTGAAAATAATTTTAATAATTAGTATATTCTCTTCGGTTGACAATCTATAGGATATTATACGTTGCTTGAAAGCAGACTTTATGATCTGAATTCCCTTTTCCTCTATTAATTTTGAATTGGTTTTGTGGGAATTAGATCGCAGATGACCAGTCCACAAACTTGTGGAAATAGACGTCTTACAATCATTACAAAATTTCTCTGTAAAGAAATAATTTGATGGTTTGAAAAGTTATAAATAAAAGGAAAAATATCTTACGTTTTTCTTCAGCTGCATCCCAGCTCTTGCAAAGCCATCTATTTAAAAGAAGTTGATTTGCTACATGAACTTTTCATATGACGCATTAGATTATCTTTACGCGTAAAATTTTTACCACAAGATGAGCAATTATACATTTTGATATTTTAATTCTAAAACAATGACTAATTATGTACTAAGATATTTTTTTATTAATGATAAATTGTTGTGTTATGAAATAATTTTCAATAGAAATTATGTCTAAGATTAAAAAAATTTGGAAATTAACACAATGAATCCCCCATTGAGTCAAAACATTTCTTCGCATATATGAGCTTTTCATAATAGGTTTTGTCCTTTTTATCACATTCAAAATTAAGACTTGAAGGAGCCAAAACCTAGAGATTCTCCCAGATAATCTACTAAAGTGTTTTTGAAATCTTAAATTTTTTTTAACAATAAATGATGTTTTTTGACGAAATATTGACAGCTTCTGAATCAAATTGCTCTAAAAATGGAGATACTGGTTCAGATATGGAAGAATTGTTTTTAATAAAATTTGGATTTGAATTTTGCGCTAATTGTATCCAATCATCATCGGAAGAATCTTTATTAGGTGAATTCCCAAAATTGATTAAATGTATCTTTTGAATTGAATAAAGATTCTTGGTGTTTTATATTTTGTTGATCAAAAGATTTTTTGTATTTCGGGAAGTTTGTTGTCAGATAATACCACTTCCCTATTTTCAAACTCGTCTAAAAAATTTTTAAGTGCAGTTTTTTGGAACTCGGTACTTATAATTGTGTCCGTAATTTGTTCATTAGTTAGTTGTTGTATGTTAGTGTTGTCTAATGAGTCAAGTTTTTCCTCAGTATAAATAGTCATGTCTGTAAGTTGTTCATTAGAGTTGTGTTGTTGTATGTTAGTGTTGTCTGTAGAGTTAAGTTTTTCCAAAATACAAATAGTCGTGTCCGTAATTTGTTCATTAGATAGTTGCTGTATGTTAGTGTTGTCTGTAGAGTTAAAAATAACTTGATGATTGGAAACATTTTATAAGTCAATAATTTGTAAAATATTAATTTTGAAGGATTCATTAAAAAAAAAATAATATTTACCAATAACACAAAAATTAAACACAATAATTTTCACTTTCACGGAGTTACCACGTTTATAATCGTCACCTTTATGGTAAAGTGTATCGTTTGACGAAGAAACAGACCTTTTTATAGTATCTCTTTCCCTTCTTTAACCATGAAAAACATGAAATCCCGCGATTCTTCATTCTATCTTCTTGGCCATTGTAAGGGAATGTCTGATTGCATGTGTCCGTACTCTTCGCAAGGTTTAACAGCTATTCCTTTACAAGGTCTGCCATCTATTACCTTGTTCGTTGTATTAATATATATATATATATATATATATATATATATATATATATATATATATATATATATATATATATATATATATATATGAGCTTGGAACTTATCGATACAATAACAATTAGTTTGCATATAAACTTTAATCTGTTTTTTTTTTAAAGAAAATGAATTTTGTTAGAAGAATTATAAATTTTATTAGAAATATAAACATAAATGTTTTGAAAGAAGAAGATTTAAATACTTGTCGAATTGCCGAGTTCTGTGGATTCGGCAATTGAAGAAGATGGTTATGAAGGCCGCCTATTCAACGTACGAACGCGTTATCTAAAAGTTAGTGAGTATAGACATTCAATTGAATCCGGAGTATTGTGCATTTATAAACACTTTATCACAGTGCTCCGGATTACAGACACTGAAGAAATTCCGTTCATAGAAAATAATTTATGCAACGAGTGTTTTCATATTTTTCAACAACGGTTAGACAATGAGAGTGCTAGACATCGGCATGTGACATCACACTTCACATCAGGACTTAATAGTGAGCCTATGTGTACACTACTAGAAAATTATAAGTGTGATGTATGTGGCGTAAAGCTATATATAGTAACACATCCTACATGTTGTTTTATATGCAATGGTAAAAATGAACTATGGTAATTTTTTAATAGGAATAATATAACATGTAGGATGTGTTACCATATATAATTTTACATAGTTTGTATATATATTTGTTAAAATTAATTTTTAGTTTTAATTACATTTAAGATTTTGTTTAGATTCTGTATATTCTTAAATAGTTTTACAATCAAAAGGATTATTTATTTATTTTTATTATTATTATTATTAAGAAATTTGTGAATTGTGTTATTTTTCGTGTTATATAAATTTTATCTATAATATGTATTATTTGAATATACACTTTTGTTAAACGAACACTTCATAAAACATTGTATACACAATTTTTAAAGTTAATATTTCAGTTTTTAGTTTTAAATAATATTTATATTTTCATTATGGAAATGTTATATTATGAATATTATTAAAAGTAGTTTTGTTTTTGGTATTGTGAAAAATATGTTAGTTTATATGAAAGTTATTTTTACATATGTATTTTTCTAAGATATGTTCTTTTGCACAATTCAGTGGTGTAGTAAAATAAACTGAAAACATCTCTTCTTAAAATTTATTATTTTACAGATTAGGTCCTCTTTTTATCGTGATAGTAAAATGGTATCTAATTACATCTTCTCGAATCTGTACTATATATGTATAAGATGAACAACACAATGGACATCTATTTATAGCCCTTAAGCCACAATTTACATCATTCCACTTTAGTATACAATTTAAACAATAAAAATGACAACACTTATTTGGAACATATGCCTCATAGAAATCGATCATTTCGTAACATATAGCACAGAGCACTTTTTTATTCTTCTCATCATCTCCATTTTCAATCTTATTTTTAAAAGAGTTTCTTCTTCTTCTCTAGGCGGAGATTCCAACACACTAAATATAGACTCATGTTCTTGAGATGTTGACTGATAACTATTTCTAACTGATTCATTCATGTTAGAGAGACTACACTAATATGATCGAACAGCTCTAACGATTTAATAAGAAATGGTAAAAATGGTGGGGATGTGTATGGGAGGTGGGGGGAGTGTGTGGCCCCCTATGCGATCGAGGAAGACGTATATGCGGATATATGTGTAAATATGTGTATTGGTAGTGGGGGGAGTGAGCGGCCCCGTATGTGAGGTGAGGTGAGGTATACTATCTACTCAGATAACAAATGAAAATGAAAAACTAAAACACAATAATACACGGCACACGTCTGCAAAAGGCAAGGAAAATAATAAAAATGGCGTTTGCAAGCCCGTCGAACGCCATTTATAGACTATTTTGACATATGTCATATTCCTAGATCTCTACCTTCCATAATATAAAATAACATAAAAATTAATAATTTACTTTACCATTCAAAAAAAATAGATCAGCAATAATTACAATTATTAATAAAGCATTTCTCATGATTTTTCTGAAATATTAGTTGAATTTATAATTAAAATATTTTTAAGTAAAATACTGTGGCGCCATTTAGTGTGAAACCTATGCAACATTTTAACCGACCTAAAAAAACCCGTAAGGGTTTCACCGGCCTGATAAAAAGCATGTATTTGTATAATGGCCAGATCAACTCCGAAGCCTCTGATCCTGATGAAAGATTTGTGAGCTTCTTCCTTTCCTTCGCAAACCGCTCCCTCAGCGACTTCCACATTTTTTGTATGTCTTCAACTACAGTTTCTTAAAGTAATTTGCTTGTTTTTTTTACCATAAATATATACCTGTAGAAGACAATACTGTTGCAAGGGTCTCCCATGCTTTTTTTTTTCTTGTTATTATCTTTAAAATCTTTGGAAGATTTATCAAACAAAAACGAGTAATGTTGAATTAAATCAATAAGCAATTATTCTTGTTCGAAATCACTCATTTTTTGGATTAAAAACTACCAGCACAGTCAATATTAACACAGCAGAAAATGCAAATCACAAATGAAAACAAAATAAACAAAAGCCGCCAAGACAGGTTAGATGTTTGTAGGTTAAAGAAAAGAAAGCGGAATTTCCATCACGAGAACGAACGATAAGAAGCGATACCGGCCGAAACCATAATCGTTAACGTAAGATGTGAAATTGAATAATTTCTTTGCGGCTTACGCTACGTGCTTACTGCTTACAGCTTACTGTGGTTGTACTATGAGTGGATTTATCACTCAGCATAGATTTATATTTCTTACGGCTTAACGTTACTTCTTACAGCTTGCGTTACGGATACTCTGAATCCAGCTTAAAGAGTCAAGAAATTAAATACAATGAATGAATGAATGAAATTATGCAATGAAAGAGTAAATCCTTACAGAACTTGATGTACATTACCAAAATTGGATGCTACGTTTGTAAAAAAACAGAACTGGAGGAAATTAGTAAGTCAAAATAAGGTACTTTTTCAACATTATTAATTTAGATGAAACAAAAACACTCACGTTTAATAACTAAACATTACCAATATAAATTAAAATTCCGCTGGGGTTTAAAAAATACTATACTAGATATTTATACCTACCTTAATTCATCTACCTTCTCTTCTTTTGCCCATATTTCGATTAATAGTATCAAATGTTGTTTTATTGTTCTTAGGGTAAAAAACTTTCCGGTACTAATAAACACTTCGCTAGGTACTTTTCTCAAATTATCTTAACCCGTACCGTACTTTTGTCATTCAAAATATAACATAACCAATAAATCACAA